ACCTGGAGAGGCCAGAAAAAAGTGTCATATCCTGGAAACTGGAGTTACAGATGGTTGTTAGCTACAGTGTGGGTGCTGAGACTGAGACCCAGGTGCTCTGAAAGAGCAAGAAGGGCTCTCTACTGCTGGGCCATCTTTCCAACCACATCACTTTCTTTCTCTTTTAATAACCATCTAGATCAGGGCACACCCCATGCTGCCTCATCCTAACCTAAATTACCTTTTAAAATGCAGTCAGGTTTTAGGTACTGGCCACTGGGTTTAGGGCTTCTGTATATGAGCTTAGGGTAGAAACACTTCAGGTCATAAAAATGACATCCACAAAAGAAAATGGGACTTTTAGTTGAAATTAACCCAAAACTATGGACATAGTCCTTATTAGTTTTATATTCTTTATTTGGTGACTGTGTATGGTAGCTGTGCAGGACTATAGTGTGTGTGTGTATGTGTGTGTGTAAACATATAACACACACATACATACACACACACACACACACACACACACACACACACACACATATATATATATATATATATACTCAGAAGCCTTCAAATATAAATCTAAATACACCATATATTTTCCAAACTTATACCCATTTTGGTATTTATAACAAATACCAAACCATAAGAAGTACCAAATACTGTTATCATTTCAAATAACAGAAATATCTGTATAGAAAGCTAGAGCATGATTCTTAAAATCCCAACATCTAGTTTTAGAAAATACTAGTTTATATTTTAAGTGTGTACCATATGCCTGAATGTGTAAATGTGTACATGCCCCTGCATGTAAGTATGGAAGCTGGAGGGTGACACTGGGTATCATACTCCCTCTACCACTCCCCACTTTATTATTTAAGACAGAGTCTCTAATTGAATCTAGAGATTTCCAATTAGCTAAACCAGTTGGCCGGTGAGCTCCTAGAATCCCTTTGTAGATGATAAGTCTGCCCCTGTGCCCAGGGGCACATTTACGTAGGGGATGAGAATATGGCTCAAAAAAATGGTGCTTCATCAACACTTCTTATGCTTTGCTTCTTCATAAGGTGTAAGTAATGAAAGTAAGCATGGCTACCCACACCTCTGAGACTCTGACTTCCTGGGCTTCATCTGCCATGCTCGACCGTTACAGACCAAAAAAGGGGAGCTTGTTCATCATGACCTCTCAAAGTCTTCCCCTATTTCTATACCCACTGATATTATCTGAGCAAGATAGATAGATAGGTAGATAGATAGATAGATAGATAGATAGATAGATAGATAGATAGATAGATGATAGGTAGGTAAGTAGATAGATATATAGATAGATGATTGATAGATAGATAGATAGATAGATAGATAGATAGATAGATGATAGATAGGTAGGTAGATAGATGATAGGTAGATAGATAGATAGATAGATAGATAGATAGATAGATAGATAGATAGATAGATTGATAGATTAGATATAGATGAGTGTCTTTTCCACACTCATTAGGCCTTAAAGTAGGGTCTTAACTTCATCTTTTCTAGCTTTGTTCACAGCTGATCATCTTAGGGCTAGAAGTTATGGGCAGCTCAACTCAAATGAGAGAAACCAAAATTCATAGAGGTACCTTGATCTCAGTAGGAAGAGGGACATCAAGGGGAGAATGGGCCTCAAGGTTAGATGGGAATGGAGCAATTACTGAGGAGGGAGTCTTCCTTCTGACAAGTGGGACTCAGGCCTCCAGATAGCTGAGGCCAGAAGTAAGGTCCTCAAAGACACTCCCAGAAGGATTTAAATATCTCATTAAAAAGGCCTATCCACAAATCTCAAAAAGTAAGAGAGAAAGAAAAAATCAGAGAAGGAAAGACAGGAAGAAGGAGGATGGGAAAGTGGGAAAAGAGGAAGAAAAAGATAGGAGACAGAGGGCAGTAAGACAGGTAGAAGGAGAGGGAACAGAAGAGAAAGTGGATAAAGAGAGAGAGAAAAGAATGAATCATGCAGGTGTCACTAGGTTCCTCTGCCTTTTGAATTAAGCATTCCACATCTTAAGTACAAAGCTATGGGAAGGAGAAGGCTAAGCTTCACTGCCTGCACCCACCTTCTGAGGTACCAGCCTTGCTTCTGTTAACAGCGTTGTCCTGTTTGAGCAGATACTGTTTTCTCAGTGCTTTCCCAGCAGTCTCCTCACCACATCTTACTGTAAATCTGGGACATCTGTCCGATGCTCTTCTTAAAAGAAAAGGAGAAGGTGCTGAAGTGCCAAGCTAGTGACACAGTGCATGATTTTCATTTGGCACATGAAAGACAGACATTTTCCTTAAAGTTCCGAAATGCAGTTTACCTACACACTAAATACATAAAAAATAAATTAATGCTTTCCTTAAATCCAAGAACATTCAGCTTTGTGCAAAAATAACTGTAGACCAGAGGAATAATTTTAAACTGAGCAGGAAGTTCTAAAATGGATAGCAACTGCTTTGTATTCCCATCCACCAATATTCAACAATACTGACCCTTCTCTGAGGAATAATTATGTTTTCAGAATAGTGGGCTAAATTTTCCCATCTTCTCTATAGACCAGGGAGCAATGGAAAATTATTGCCCACATTTAGACATGACAAAAGTATAGATAGCTAGCTTGGTAAAGTGAAAACAGGAGCATGTACATGCATATTGGACAAGCAGACATCCAAGTTTGTCACACATGAGGCTTGTGACTAAACTATTTGAGTACAATATGTTCTATCTCTGTTTCTTTTTCATTTACTAAAACAGGAAAATACTACTGTGTATGTTAGTTACAAAGTTTTGATGAAACCTACATAGAAGAGCTACCTTTGGATGATTTTCCTCCCACAACTTAAAAATTTTGAAGAAGAGTTAGGTAAAGCCAGGGTCTACATTTCAGAACTTCTGTTCTTTATCCAGGAGGATATCCCTTCCCACAACCTATCCTACACACCCTGCTGATGCTGTCCTTGAAGGTTGGAGTTGACTTTGTTCCTAAATAGTGTCAGCGAAAGCATCTTAAGATGCCTTGGTCTCCATAGAACCAGATTTTGAGTGTTATGGACTCTCTGTCACATGGTTCTTGCTGGGGCTGGCGAAATAGACTTGTGGACAAACAATTGCTAATGACTACTCTGGAAAGTCTAATAGCAAGAGCCCTCTATATGGGCCACTGTGACCACAGCAATAAGGTCATTTTACATCAATCTGCCTGGGACCACTCAGTGCTTCTCACCTGACCTCCCCACCTGTCAGGCCACTATCGGCTCACAGTGCCCAGATAAAGTGAAAGTCCATCCTCAGTTGTCCATTTGTGAGTGTCACAAAGAAAACACAAGCATTTTCTTAGTATTACTTTTGGAACAAATATCTCCTCTGGGTCCTTAGGCGAAGGTTAACATGACATCACCGTTTATTCTTAACTATGGTTTTATAGAGAACTATAAGAGTAATCTGTAGATGAATGGTTCAAGCTATTGATCTATAAATGCCAGAAATTACCTGAAAGAAACCAAGTTAGGTTACTATAGTCTTCTTATTTCTCATAAGTAGACACTATAGTTAATTAAGAAAGTCAATTCACCAGAAAGCTGTATATATGCTTTAAAATAAAAACTAATCTTTCAAAGTAGGGCCAGTATAATTACATTTAGTTAAAATCTGTACATTATAGTTCTCCATTTAAGGAAGAAGAAATAGAAATCATACACACGATGATTATGTGTGGTTTTATTGCAGCTTGTATGTGTGTGTGTTTGTATGTGTGCTTGTATGTGTGCTTGAATCAAAAAAGAATTTAGAGCATTCACATGTTTGGAAATACCTAATTCTGATCCTTAACAAGGAACAATGGGAGTAGATAAATTATAGCCTACTAGCATTCAGCATGCCACAGGCATGAGTTAAGGCCCATTTTCAGAGGAAGCAAAGAGTAAGGTAAATCAAGGACTAAGCTAAATAGAGGTCAGTTCACACTGCTTCGATGGAATGATCTGTGTCTATGGAAATAATCTCAGGACTATACTTGAAGATTAAGAACATGCAACTAACCATATCTGCATCATCTCTAATGCAGCACCAATATTTTTTGGAAACACTGAGCTGGAGTCTCTGATGACACCCTCAGGGGTATAATATTATTATCTGTAGTGAGATAGGTACTCATGTTTAAGATAACAGAACCTAGGACATGAAAGAACGTACTTCCCCAGAGTTAGAACCCAAGTTTGCTTTGGAATATATTTAAATGATTTTCAAACAGAGAAAATTGCCTTTAAATATGCTGATATGCTTTGGAATGTATTAAGATGTGTAGAATATGACTCCAGAATTCTGAGCTCTAAAACCTAGAAAAGATGTTTTCATTCTGAAAAAAATGTCAGAGTAGAATTATTCTGTTTTATTCCCAGTCCATCCCTGCCCATCCCTACTATAGTTAGGTCTAGAAAGTCTGCTTCTTAAAGTAAATTTATATTATCTTTAATCATACATATGTGTGGGGGGGATGGGTCCATGAGAATGTGAGGGTAGAGGAGTGCACATGAGTGTGAGCCGTGTTATGCACATAGTGTGTGGAGGTGTACATGAGTGTGTGGGTGGGGTTATACATGAGTGTGGCAGCTGGGGTGCACATGAGTGTGAGAGTGGGGTGTGCATGAGTGTGGAGGATATGCACATGAGTTTGTGGGTGAGGATACACAAGAGTGTGGGGATTGGGGTGCACATGAGTATGGGGTTGTGGGTACACATGAGTACAGGCTCCCAGCATTACATCATGTGCTCTGGATGTTGGCTTTCAAGTGGTTATGAGCAGTCTAGTGTGGGTTCTGGCAACTGCATATATACGCAGAAAAAACTATGTATTTGCATGTATCACATCCTAATTCAACCTGGCTTCTGTATCTACCCTGGTCATGCCAGCATTTATGGTTTGGGTATTTTGTTTGCAGTTTACACTCTTCTTTTAAAACAGTGCTGTGGCATCCTGTTGAGTGTTTCTCACACATCTCTTTTGCTTCTACAGGAGGGATTTTTGAAACTGTGGAAAACGAACCTGTCAATGTTGAAGAATTAGCTTTCAAGTTTGCAGTCACCAGTATTAACCGAAACCGAACCTTGATGCCCAATACCACATTAACCTATGACATCCAGAGAATTAATCTTTTTGATAGTTTCGAAGCCTCCCGAAGAGGTAACTGTTTTCCTACTTTACAAAGTTTCTTTGGGTGATAAGTCTGCTGCATGGGTCACTTTTTCTCTTGCTCAACCTTTTTCAAAGTGGGTTTCTTAGTGCAAATGGGTGGTAGGAATTCCTGGTCCCCAACATCGCTGATCAGTGAGATCAGAACTCATCTGATGGACACTGCCTAGCCCTGTTTTCTGGGCCTTTCTGCTTAGCTTACTCTTCAAAGCCCTCTACTCTATGATTAACTGGTTCAGCTGTGAATGGAAAATGTCAGGTTTGATCTGTTTTTCCTTCCTGAAACTGAGATACCACCATGAAATTGTACAGTGTAATCAAATAAAACATTGTGGAAGGTCACATCCACCAAGCATGGAAAAGTAACCAGGACATACATAAGTCAAACCCAGGATCACAAAAGGCTTCAACAAACTGCTGTGCTTATCTAACATCTACTCATTTTCTTGTTGCTATTGTTTGCAAACTTTTCTGAAAAATCATAAAAAAGTATGAAGATTAAATCTGTGAGAACAAATCACAATTTGATTTTCTTTCTTCTTCTGAACAGAAGATAAGTACTCAAAAAGGAATCTAATTTATACGTAGTCTGCACGTTTTATCATGTGGAGTTGTTCTTATGGAAGAGCAGGGCTGATTTTGATATCTCTCAGGAACCTTTGGAATAATTTTCTAATGATTTCTTATACCTGAAGCATGGCGTCTAACAAAGGGATTGCCTATGCACACCATAAAGATTTTAAGAAAGTAAATGTTGCTGCTCATCTTGTATCTGTCAGAAATTCTTTTCCTTCCAGAATACCATTTGCCTTTTGCAGACACACAAATCACACATGATAAACTCCATGTATCTGGTGATTTCCAAGTAACCTCATGGTAAGGGTTAACAGAAATGATCTGGTAAGATCGAAGAATTTATGTTTGCCTGATACACTTACCTGCAGGCATTACAATGTTATTTATATACAAAATAAAAAGCTTCCTTTATCAAGTAAAGATTAATACAATAATAATGCTCCCATATATAATACAATCTTGACATAATAACCCTGTTTATCTTAAGATAGAAGAATCCTGGACATAATGGTATATCCCTAAAATCCCAGCACTAAAGAGATGGAGATGAATGTGAAGCCATCCTGGGCCACATAGCATGACTCAAAAGAAAAGTGATGGAGTTAGAGATTTCTTATAGGTCAGAGTTGCCTATGAACACAGAATAAAAAAATGTATAGTTATATTTGTGTAACATTTTAAATCTTTCTAAGCATTATATATATATATATATATATATATATATATATATATGTCTTAATTAGATCTGTATCACTCTCTATATGACTTGATCTCCCTCTTATACTGTTGAACAACACCACAGAAAGCTAAGCCAATGACATTTAACAGGGATACTTCAACACTCTCCCCACCCCACACACATACATAATGAAGGCTTTCTTGTGATCTGAAGACCCAACCATACTTGTAAATTAAACACTCCAACAAACAGAATTCTGAAGGATTGATTTTCTGTCAAGAAATATTAGCATCCTAGAGTCAAGACACATTCAAAGGAATCTCAATCCTCTCTTGTGGGGTAAGACAACAATTTGCATACTTCCATGCTCATATTTTTCCTGGCTAATGAATACACATACAGAAGTAAGAGGACAGTGACAATTCACACCTTCATCACATTGCAGAAAGCTCTGCATCTCTATAGCTAGTGCAGACAATCAGCACCAAGCAACGGAGGGTCAGAAGTTGTCCTTAAAAATAACTGTCAACATTAGCTGCCCAAATTTTACTCTATATTTTCTCTATATCACTTCCAAGAAATTTACAGAACATATGGTGCTTCTCTTTTTTTTTTGAAAATGGCATAATTATAAAATCCCTAACATAAATTCATTTATATAAACCCATTTATTTAATTTAGATATTCAATTATTATCACTTGACAACTCTCAAATTCATTTTTAATAATTACAATTTAAATTTGATGGATGCACATAAACCTATATTTACCACCCACTTACATATGATTAATAGATAATGTTCTTCATGGAAGTAGAGTATAGTCTAGTCTTTCTGGGTGGGAATTTGGATAATAAGTATCAAATAATTTTAAAATATCAAGACATTTTTGGTAGTAGATGATGAACTCTACCACCTAGAATCTATATCAAAGAAGTAACTTAAGATACAAAGAAAAATACCAATATTGAAATATTACTTCTCAAGGTCAAAAGTTAAGAGGAGCTTAAATACGTAAATGTATAACAATGGCTTAGATAAATGACACCATTCCTGCCCAATGATCTGTTTTTCCAACACTGGAAATATACTCTTGAAATTCTAATACCTTAAGGAGAAAGTGCTTTTTATTCAATAAAGGCACCAATGTTTCACACTATGCTTTAACAGCAGTCCTAGTTTTCTGCAATATCAGTAAGCATTATTCCAAGATAAAGAAGGCTGATGAGAGAGCCTTTGGTCTTCTCTATATTTTAAATACTCTAATTTCTCATAATGGATACTTTTGTTCTTATAACAACAAAAATGTTAGGAATAAGATATGAAATGTGTAATTTAATTATGATTAGCTGATAATTGAAGGAGAAAGAGACCTGGCCTTGACCTAGAGTCCACAAGTTCTGGGTCAACTCTGTTACTGTCCCATGGCCATGATTAGCTCCATTGGGTATAAAATGAGTGGGGTAGACCAAGTGTCTTCTAAAGATCTCTTTAGGTCATGCCATTCCACTGTAACAATTAGGGAGTCCTTCCTACTTATATGCGCTCTACAAATATTTCAATAACAGAACGTCCTACCTGAATAACTCATTTTTATTTGCAGGGAGTTGGCCACATGATTTATTGCTGATCAGCTGTACATTTACACTTATCAGTATTTTACTATTTTAAGAATATTGGAAACTGGATAGAAAAGATAGCAAAGATAGCGATTTGGGGTGGGAATTACAGGGGGTTCTCTAATAGTTAAGTAGAAAACTCATGTAAGAAAAATAAGTGCAAAAACTCTTACCTGAGCTGCAGAAAGATAGGAGTCAAAGCATTTTATAGTCACCCACAAGGTCTTCTGCATTCTGTGTCCATACTAATATCTCCATTGTCCCCCTGCCATATGACAGAACTTAATTCACAGGACATTCATTTGACAAATGGTTTGCTAGTTAGCTCACAGAGTGCTCATGGGATCAAGTAAAGGATTTAGCCTTCATCTACTTGAAGGTAATGAACTGAGACGAGTAACTCATTTTTATTTGCAGGGAGTTGGCCTTATGATTTATTGCTGGTTGGCTGTACATTTACACTTAACAGTATTTTACTATCTAAAGATTAGGGGAAGCTGGAAAGAAATGATAGCAACAAACAGATGGGAATTATAGAGGGTTCTCTGACAGTTAAGAAGAGAAACCATGTAAGGAAAGCATGACTTTAAAGAACTCTCTCGTTCTCACCCTTTTCCTGCCTTCTCTCCCTCACAATCCCTCCCCTTGTCTTTGGATATTACCAGCATGCGACCAGCTGGCTCTTGGGGTGGCCGCCCTCATTGGCCCCTCCCACAGCTCCTCCGTCAGTGCTGTACAGTCTATATGCAATGCTCTCGAAGTACCACACATTCAGACTCGTTGGAAACACCCTTCTGTGGACAACAGAGACTTATTTTACATCAACCTTTACCCGGATTATGCGGCTATCAGCAGGGCGGTCCTGGATCTGGTCCTCTATTACAACTGGAAAACAGTGACGGTGGTGTATGAAGACAGCACAGGTATGGAACTCAAAAACAAACACACACATGCACACACATGTGCACAATCACACACCCGAATGCCAGCCTGGGCAGGCTTACTCTGCCCACCATGAGATTCGTCAGACCATACACACAGAAACACTGTCTCACGAAACCTTACTGAGAATTTTAAAGGAATTTTGGATGCCTTGTATGGCTAATTCAATAAATTTAGTTATATTTTAAAAAATACATCATTGTCTTAGGGTTTTACTGCCGTGAACAGACACCATGACCAAGGCAAGTCTTATAAATGACAACATTTAATTGGGGCTGGCTTATAGGTTCAGAGGTTCAATCCATTATCCTCAAGGCAAGAACATGGCAGCTTCCAGGTAGGCATGATGCAGGAGGAGCTGAGAGTTCTACATCTTCATCTGAAGGCTGCTAGCAGAATACTCACTTCCAGGCAGCTAGGATGAGGGTCTTAAAGCCCAGGTTAACAGTGATACACCTACGCCAACAAGGCCATACCTCCAAATAGTGCCTCTACCTGAGCCAAGTATTCAAACCATCACAATCATCTTATTGATATATATTGTGATCTAATTACAGTGCTAATAGTGAGATTTCATAAGCACAACTCTACTGAGCATGTAATCACAATTGCAGTGACCTAATTCAAGTGTCTAACAAAAGTAGTTATTCTGTCTATCAAAAGTTATCACAATCATACATCAAGCAGACATCTAGTTAGACATTATGCCACTAAAGTGATCCATTCCCTGGGAAAAAGATTGTGAGTCCCAGGGGTAAGCCAGTACAAAATTTGGGAGCTTAAGTGGTGGCTACAGGTAGTACTCTGGCTATAGCTTGTCCCATTGCCACCTTATAGAACACTCATTAACTGTTTTAAAACAAATCAATGGGATTTGGTTGTTCTATCCACTTGGTTTAGGATTCAAACTGGAAGATGGCATTTCAACACCTAATCATCAATAGATACCTTCTCTGAACTTTACCCATTTGAAGTTAGCTTTGCTGGTACTTCCCCTATTATCTTCTGCTCGAATTTTAGGATTTATCAGAGCTCAGGTTCCCTTGTGAGCATGTACATGGTATGTGAGTGTGTGCGTGTGTGTGTGTGTGTGCGTGTGTGTGTGTGTGTGTGTATGCTGGCTGACATCATCTGTCTTCTTCAACTATTCTCCACTTTTTTCCGGAGCAAAGGGTCTCTCACTGAACCTAGAGCCCTTTGATTCCATGAGGCTGTTTAGTGAATGAGCTCCAGGGATCCTCCCGTTTCCATTCGTACCCCCCTCAAGCTGAGATTGCAAATGTACACTACAGTGAATACTTTTTTAGTTGGGTACTGGAAATCCAAGCAAATGTCTCCATGCTTGCTCAGCAGACCATTTGCCAACTAAGGTATCTTCCAAGCCCTGACTATCTTCCCATCTCCCTGTTTTTGTTTAACTGGAGTCAATGACTCTCCTTCATCTACATATTAAAGTTTCAAGCTTAGTTCACTGATGTATTTTCTCTACTGCCCATATACTGCTCATATGAACTACCACTCCTTAAGAATCCCCAAGTTCTTTCTAAGTACTCTTTCAGAGCCTGGCCCTTCCTTGTACTGAGTATGCTATGTCAAAACATCAACAAACACAGCTGTGTCTTTCTGCCATGTCAGAATTTATTGAGTAACAATAAATTCACAAGGTGCAGGTAGCGTTTTCATTAGCAGCAATTTGCCAGAGAATTCCCTTTTCCTTGATATTTATGGCTGAGGCAAACACAGGGTTTTTTGTTGCTGTTCATTCCAATCTTTATTAGTAATGATAATTCTCAATTATGAGTTGTACATCACATAGTCAATAGGTCTCAATTTGAATATATGTAATTTATAGCATGGTAGTAAAGGCTTAGAAAGGCAGGGAATGTCAAAGAGGACTGAGAGGACAAAGTAGAGAACCTGGTAGAAAGTTTCTAGGGAAGGTCCCTGAGGCCAAAGCAGTCTGAAGCAAACAACAAAAGCCAAAACACAACTTTCTTTTGCAACATCTAGTAACTTAGGGGAGGACACAGATTGATCCCAACACTCAGATGGTGAAGTCATTGATTATTCATGACCACATTCAAATGTTACTTCTCTCAAGCTCCCTAGGAGCACCAACAGAAGAGAAGGGCTTTGGAAATTGAAGCGTTACACATTCGATATCAGTGATGTGCTTACATGTCTATGACACTAGGCATTCCTAAATACTAAATTTCTAGCTTTGCTTAGAATGTCCTTCCTGTTATCGACCAGGCACATAGAAAACGGATCAATAATTTTGTGCACAAAGACTAATACTGTTGTCTATCTGACCTTTTCCCAAGAATTTAGAATAGGTTCTTTCTTGATCTGCCTGAAACGAATGAAATTGGCAGTGAGAATTAGCAAACGGAGGCCCTTCCAAGCATTTTGGCAAATTTTCGTTTTTCATTGCCTTTTCCAGCAAGCATTAGCTCATGCGGTTCCCTAGAAAATGAGTACTATGCATCCTCTGTTCAGCACTAAACCCTGGCTCCACTTATACTCTCAGATAAAGGTGACTATCATCATCAGAAGAAGCCATTTATGTATTTTCCTGTGCCTCATCTCATTTTAGAAACAAGTGAAAGCCCTAGGTGATTAGACATATAACTCATAAATATGATATGCTGAGCAGATCCTACTAGAAAGGGTTTGCCACCAACGGTTATGTATTTAGTTTTACCTGCTTGATGTACAGGGTGACATCATGTTGCGAAATAAACTCTACAAAGTATATTTAAAGAGCCTTCAGGTAAAACATTACAGTGAAACACAAGTGTGGTTAGATTGGTTCACGTTGCTGTGTTTGGTAAGTAGTTTTTCCAGCTAATAAAATCAAAGTAGCTCTCACGTTAGGGAGCTCACCTTGATGTAATCACTCAAGCTTTCTATATCTCCAGAAAAGCAAAATCATCTAAAAGGAAAATAAATTATAGAAACCCCTGCATTTAAGAACAAGTTCAAACAATGATGTGGGCATTATAGATTTTAAGGTATATGCAGACAAAATTTAATTATACAAAAATTGATGTCCTAACTACCTTTAAACACCCAGGAATCCATTCAGAGTAGCAGCCCCTTTGCACAACAAAAACATCAGCACATCATTTTTTTTGTCAGTGTTGACTATAAAGTAGAATGACCTTTTTATCCTTGGTAGGCTCATCTGAGCTCAGTTGCTCAATAAATACTTGTTGAAATAAATATCCCAAATGACTCTGTATGTTACCCATTAAGTTAGAGATGATTCCTGCTAAAATGATTTTGCCTACAACATTAAAAATGTAAATGAATAATCAATTGAACCATTAAATTGGAACCTGGAGGGTAAGCGGATCAACTGAGATCGATAAAAGCAGACGTTCGGTGGCTCAGGGTGGGTTTAATACTACCTGACTCAGGCTTCTCCAGTGTAGCAATTATCAAGCCATAAAAAGGAGGAAACAGCAAACCTGAAGGGAAAGAAAGGACTTAGGTGTATTCAGCACCCACCTCTGCAACAGAATTAAGTACCCATTAAAGAACACTTTACTGGGATTTGTTTAGTAGGAGTTTGTTAAATAGCCTGAAGCCAGGACAGATGTCGTGGGAAAAAATGCCCCATTACTCTCATTGAAGTCAATGGGAGCAGCATGCAAGTCTCTAAGGACAGAACTCAATTGACTCAATATTTGCAGGCAGAGGTCCTCTACAAGTTAGAGTATGTAAGGGCTCTAGAGTGCTTCTAGAAAGCGTGAAGTTTTAGCATGCTCCATCTCTTCCCCTCCTCATTCCCAGGTGCTCACATCACTCACTTATCTCCAAGTCTCACATGCTGTGGTGATTTGAGACATCCTAAGAACTTTTTGCTCATAGGACCTCTCTCTGGTTCATTAGACCCCTGTGGAAGGCTGGCTTCTTTCCCTTAACACACAGCAGAAAGCTGAGAAGCTGAGTACCAAATGCAGCATGAAGTCTATTCAGCACTTTCTGCTTTCTCGAGACCTAGTTCAGCCAAATGTAGCCTCTGTTAGTTATGTAGAGCACAGGGACAGCAAACTTTTTACATAAATAGTAAATGTACAGTACAGTATTGTGGTCATATCTTCTTGGACACAATTACTTTGCTAAGTGTACATATATAATATGTAGATGAGTGGACATGGTATATGAAAATAAAACTTTATTTATAAAGGTATATATGCTTGGCTAGACCTGACCTGGACCTCTAGTTTACCCTGATATAAAATATAAAGATGTACAAGGAAAGAGGAAGAGAATGAAATGGAGGGAGGGAAAAGAGATGGAGCGGAGACTAAACACACATAAAGGCTGAGGTTTACACACATGTATGAAGCTCAATAGTTGTTCTTTTGCTCTCTTCTGTTTGTCAAATCCATTGTTGTCAATCTTCCCCTAATCCTCTGTGTATTTTTTTTCCAGGTGGAATCTTTGTTCACTTGACAAATTTTCTTCAGTGTAGGACAAAAGTGACTGATACTTTTCCTTATCCATCATAAAAATAATGACTAACAATCATAACATATAAACATAATTATAATGGTAAGAAATTAGGAAGACAAAGGGATAATGGATTTACTTAACAACATTTTCACATGATGCCAAGATTCTTTAGAAGAAATGCTAAAAGACACAGGGAACCCTGAGCTTTACATTTATGCATACATAAATGAATGCATGTTTGTATGTATGTGTATGTATATATATACATATATATATATATGTGTGTGTGTGTATATATATATATATATATATGCATGTATGTATGCATGTTTATATGTATATAAGAAGGTAGATGTGTTACAGGGCCACTGCACATAGCAGGCAACTATTCTATCACTAAGACAGCCCTTGAAGCTCTGTCTACTTTTATACTTAATTTGAATGAAGAATGAACAACTCTGTAGAAATGTGAAAGGTATTAGAAATCACAAGGTCCAACTACAGGACCAGCTTTCTG